TGGGAAGGCTTTCAAGTTTATTTCTTTGCAAAACAAGTAACTTCAGATCTGTCAGAGTGCCACAATTCTGGAACAATTCATCCGTCAGGGCATTGTGAGAAAAATTTAAATACTGAAATAAGCTTGTTCTACTGGGGCAAAGCATGTGTGGCATATATGCATCATATATTGTCAAACTGGCAATATTCATCTCTGAAAACTGTCTGTATAAAATCTCCTGGTTGAAATAATAAAGCTTATTGCGAACGTGCTCCAAAGTTAATGTTTTCATGGAGCCACTCAAAGAGATTAATTGTTCCAGGGAGCTTAATAAGGATAGAAATTCATATTCAGCCAGCTCCCCCAGCGGTCCTCGAAAAGTCAAATTTCTCACGGTCAAATGTTCCACAGGTGAATACCAAATAAGCAGGAAAAATTGTAAAATGATAGCCCATTGTAAGTCTACAATGTCAAGCATCAGGGCTGTTGTCTTGATTTCCTTCAGAAGTGTTAAAGAAGGAGAGAGAAAATCTTTGTACTTCGAGGTATATCTTAAGTTAACTATTTTTAAGTTTTCTGAAGTGCTCATGCCATCATACAAGAGGTGAAAATTGAAGCTTTGGTTTACTGCAAAAACAATGTGGAGGCTCCTTGTATTCAAGGCTGTCAGGCTCTGAGGCTCATACCCAGAAAACTCTTCTAAGGTTAGGAAGACAGTGTGCAGCTGCAAATGTGTGATATACCTGAAGTCTGACCTTCGTATCATCATGGCACTTAATCCTAGGTACTCCAAATTAAACATGTTCCCAAATTCCTGACAGATGGGCAGGGAAGGAAACTTATTGAAAGAAAGATCTAAATGTCGAAGATATGCAAGAGTTTGACAGTAAACTTTCAAAACATTATTATGAGATAAATCTAAGTATTCTAAATCTTCATTAAAAATGAAGATACTAAAGTCAAGCTCTGTAATTAGATTATGAGAAAGATTTAATACTTGAAGGTCAGAAAGAGAAATAAATTCTGAGATACTGAGTCCAGAGATCCTATTATGTGATAAATCTAATACATGAGTATGGACTGGAATGTTCTCTGGAACATTAGATAGCAAACTGCTTGAATAATTTGCAATAAATTCATTTTCCTCAGTTGGCTGGATATTATCCCATAGTATGAATGTAAAGACACAAGCAAAGACATTGATACTTGCAAAGGGTCTCATTATGCTTTCCAGATTTATCTTGTTTTGTTTTTTTTACAGAAACATAGAAGAATATCTTTGTTTTCTATTCAATACGTCTCAGTGATGAGTCCAGCCCTATGAAAAGAAAACACATGGAATTTGCTGAAATTGTCAAACTGTTGAATTTGCTTTCTATTGATAAATAAAATTCAATACAAAATTTATGTAATAAAAATTTTCTTTTTACATACTCTTATTCTAAGTTCTTATAAATCTCCCTCATCCCCATTCTTTAATTCAAATTATGGATTTTCTCAGTTGAGTAGAAATTAATTCCTTTATAATAGGAAGAATATGATCAGTGGTATGTTAAAAAAACTCAGAGGTGTTAAGAAATACATATTTCTCAACAATCTTGAAAAATCCAAAAACAGCACAGACATCAATGCATTTAGGAGTAAAGGAGAACACAACAAGCTTCCTATCTGCTCCTTCCACACACCCCATGTCCACACACACTTGGAGACAGAACTCCAAACGCCCCATGGACCCTCATAGGATCTGCTGCAAGAGCAGCCTCTTCACCCAGGAGAGCCAAAGGATATTCCTCTTCACACTCCAAAGACTCAGGACATGGCCATGTGCCCCCTCAGCGTCAGCTGATCAGAGAAGCCATTCAGCTTTTCTTTGCTATAGCATAAAGACATAAGGGTCCATTTTTCCAGTAAGCCAAGAACCTTGAGGAGGAATTATACTGTCTCATGAATATCGTAATGCTAGTGTGGCCAAAAGCATACTAACAGGAAAACCAGAGCATAACTGGACAATAAGCATGAAGCAGTGGTACTCAAAATCTGAAAGAAAACACTTGACACTTCCAAATTACCCCACAGTTGCAAAGAACCTCTCTTGAAATGGTGAGGGACAATGAGTCTCGTTCTAAGAATCAGAAAACCCAAGGAGGGAAAGATTTGTGGATACAGAAAATGGTCCAGCAGAATTAATATCTGGTCATGCCTATCAATACCAAACAGAGATTTGGAGAGGCATCAGTCCTATCATGGAGAAATGTGATTTGGGCATTACTCTGTCATTGTTAGGCATTTAAAACAGCACACCAACAACCTGAAGTATAAGCAAGTCAACTGTTTCAGCAGACAAACATCCCCAATTGTTTTTACTGTGCCGATTTTGTCTGTAAAAAATTGTGAAATTTTACAAGCCTGCCTCTGTATAATATTTGTTAAATAAAACCAAAAGCCTATTTTTTTCAGTTGTAGGTTATAATGTGTGTCAGTCCCTTTGATTTGATTGACTGATATCAAAACTCATTTCTTCCCCTCCAAGCTTAATCAAGTTTTATTTTAATTAAGTAAAGCAAAAAAAATATATATTTTTAAAAATATGTAACTGACATCACTAAAGGCTATGAAATAATAAATCAATAAAGCAAAAATTTCTAGCTCAACAGAATCCAATTGAGAGGTCAAATTCTGTCTTCAGAAAGTTGTGCTAGGGTATCTGAGCACAGAATAGAAATGAAGCTGGGACGGTTCATCAAAGTACAGTATCACAAGAAGAACTAAGGCAAGGAAATACAACCCAACTTCCTTCAAAGAGCAGCTGACCCTGTTCCTCAGAGTCCCAGCTGGTAAAGAACCTTCTGAAACAAATAAACTTTGATCAGGAACTATCTGAAGGAACTTCCACTTGGCAAAAGGGACATCAGGAACAAAGCAAGAAATGTTCTGAAGGGAGAAAAAACCAGAAAGATAATCTCTGTCTGTGCTCCATTGCCAAATGAGTTTTAATTTACTATGCATGCTATGCTATATGCTGCAAAAAGGGGTGATCCACACTGTATATCACCGAGAAGTGCCACAGTCAAAGAATAAAGTAGATATGTCTAGCAAAGCAATATTAAGGACCAACAGTTATCCTTTCGACACTATTTTATCATGGCATTAAATTAGCATTGGCTGAGAATGAAAATTGTCATACCAAACATTTTTTTTGCATTCTTCTGTGTTGAAATTCAACATACAGATGAGCATTTTCACTGAAAATTCAAAATACAAGAATATCTTTCAACAGTGAAGAAACACCAGAACCTGAGATTTGATGGAGTCCAAAATACATGTAACAAAAAGAAAAAAAAACAACGGAGTAAATATAACCCACCTTTCATGCATGGAATTAATCTCCAAGTGAAGAACCAGTAAAAGTCCTCTGCATACTTGGTTAACACTGTCAGAACAGAATTTCAAACACAGGTGATCTTCCAGCTGGGGAATCTCACATGAGGTGCTAATTCCTTAATAATTTCTACCTCAGGAAGTAGAAAGAACAGGGTGTTCTTAAACAGGCTATATAGTTCAAAAAATTAATGACATTTCCCTATAAAGCAGGTATTAAGAACACAATGAAAGGAAACGTTTAACAATCCAGACTCAAAATACATTTACTTCTGTAATATTTGCATAACTGTATGGTTTAGGAGGAAAGCAACCTATCTACATTCAGAATGGCAAGACAGTTTAAATAATTCTGCATTTCTGACTTCACGTCTGCTTCTGACGGTTACACAGATGTTCTAGAAATTCATCAACTACATCTCCTCCTCTGCACACACAGAAAAGAGGAAGCAGTACCCTCACTGTCAACTTCTCTTCATATCAAAATCTCTTGCTGAGCTCTACCCCACTACATTATTTTTCTCAGCTAGCAGACTAATTAATGCAGCACATTGACAGATGGCAAAAGCTTAGATCCCAAAAGCTTATAACAGGGGCAAACTGGCACAGTTCAAAGCCTTTACAGGTCAGTCATCTTTACACCAGAGATGCCTCCGATGATTATCAGGGATACCTACATAATAGCTTTCTTCAAAAGATTATAAAAACTGAACTATAGAGAATATTCGCTCTGATATGAAAGCTGTAAAGAAGCCATGAAAAACACAGCAACATAGAGCAATCTGGGAATGGAGGAATCCAATAAAGCAGCCATTCAATTAGCATATTGAACAGGGGCATGAGCCTAACGAGCAAATCAAGAGAGCAGAGAGGGAGTGCACTGCAAAGGCAGTCATAAATAACCAAAACCAACGCTTCACTCCCATAAGCCTCCAAAATGATACAACATGCCTCAGGAAGATTAATTAGCAAGGAAGAAAGAAGCAGAGATTAATAAATTAATGGAGATTTATCTAATCTTAATTAATTTTAAGATTAAATTCACGAAGTATGTAATTAATTCTTCAGGTGTAAGCAAATTAGGGGGAAAGGGAGCACCTGGCCCCATTCTGGACTTACTGTAGAGCTTACTCCACCACACAAAACAGCACCTTGGAAGAGAGCCGAAGGCAAGAAGGGATTCAGCTGAAGAAAGCTGCCAAGTATGACTATTTATTCTAGATAGTAGTGCCAGTTATATTTCAAGTATGCCTTACCTTCCTCTTAAAATTTTCTTGTGCAATTACCTTTTAAATTTTGTAAAGAAGAATATAACCCTTTGTTTTGCTGAAAGAAAATTTCTGCTTTTTATTTTGAGATTGACAAGTATGAGAGTCTGAACTGAAACTGAACTGAAACCCTTCTGCTTTCCTCAGTACAGCAAATCTGCAGAAAACTGTGCAGAGACACAGAGACATCTATGACCCAAGACAAGACCAGGTATCCTGAATGTTTCTCAATAAGCAATAAAAGTCTGTTTGTCAGCTGATACTGTCTTGTCTTCAAGTAAAAAGAGAAGTTCCTGTTGCTGGGTGTTAACCCATGAAAATGAATAGACAAAGGCAGTGGTTGACAGAACCATAATATTACAGTTATGTAAACCAGTGGCAGTTTTACTTCCAGTACAATCCATGAAAAAACTTTGCTGCATGGACAAAATCAAATACACTGACTCAGTGCGCACAAAGCTGTAAAAAGCAGAATTGCCCATATTTTTAGTTATAGTATCCTTAATTTCCTTGTCACTCTTGTTTTGAGACTTTAAAATACATTCAAATAAACAGTTTGTCATAAAGAAAAAACTGCAACTACTTAAACTAAAACTAATGCTTCTGAATACCTCTGTTAAATCATTAGGAACATTGCATAATGTTATTTTTACTAACAAAGCTTTGTTTGGAGCTGGTTCAGTTTACTGACTAAGCATGATATGCAAAAACTAAAGAGCAGTGTATTTCTGTCATGCATTCTGAAATGCACCAGATAAATACTGTCCTTTCCACAGTCAGCATATGTACACTCATGCAAATACCTTGTTCCATTTCTGAAGTTTATACTGCTGGGGTTTTTTTTGCAGCTGACTCTATCAATGAGTACCCATCAAGCAGCCTTTCCTCAAGGCACATTTCACACTTGTACCTGTATGTTGTGATTACTTACCCAGAGAGGAACTGCAGCTACATTTGGCTGAATATCAGAAGCTACTCAGGACCAGCATTGTGTCCAAAGGCGCAAAGAATCTCTCCAACTGGAACTGCAGAAGGGATTTTACATGTGCAAAATACTGAGTTAAAACGTAGCCAGAGCAGATGGACTCATCCAAGCACTCATGAAAAGTTAATACAATTGTTGAAGGTTGCAAAGCCAGTGTTTGGTCATATCAAGGGCCTTATCTTCAACTGCAGCTTTCACCGTCACAACTTAACCCTGTGTGTCAAGTAGGCGAAAGGAGTGCTAAATGCCACCCCTAGTTCAAAATGAGCAGAGATTGTTTCACATTTATGCCCCAGACCACTTTGCTTGGGCATAGACACAAGGATCAAAGCTGCGGAAATTAAATCGGTAACACAGAGCTGTCTTGCAGAGTACTGAAGTTTCTTATATATTGGTTTATCTGTACTGCTTCCTCTTGACCAGAGTGACTACAAATGAGCATTACAGTCAACCTCAGTAAATCTTTCTGAAAGAAAAGCCAACCAAACTGGAGCCCTGAGTAAAAACACAGGTTTTGCAGAGGTTTTGAGCCTTCCCCTCAGCAGAATGCCTCGCCTCCCATGCAGTCCCATTCTTAGCCCTCATGTGCCCTTCCCTGCTCTAACCCTCTGCAGTTGAACTTCAGTGATGATGCTTTGTAACATTTCTAAAGTTAAAAAAGAGCTGAGCTCTCAGCATGGCAACCCACATAGCACCAGGACTCCCAGTCTGTCACAGTTCAGTTTCCTCTATACTACACACTACTTAAATACACATAAAAACATTGACACTTTTACTTAATTCTGCAGATTTTCTAGGTTTTGGAGGGCGTTTACCCCCAGGTTATCAGTTTTGTAGGTTGATATTATTATGTACGTGAAAATAGCATTCTGGCTAGTCATCGAGATGACTAGTCAAATGCCAGGAATCTGCTCTGTTACGGTATCTGACATCAGAATACATTTACACACTCCCTTTTCCTGATAAATGGAGTGCATTAGCAGTTACAGATTTCAGCACAGAACCCATTGAGACTCACACCACCATGTTGCACACAAAGGGGTAGCTACTTCCCAAAATTTGCAGAAAGTCGCTGACATTGGGCTACACATGGCTGCATGTATGTGAAAAATTTCTTCGTGGACTAAAACTGGTTTTATAGAACGTGTTCAGAGTAAGGCAGAAGTTAAAATAATCGTTTGAAATATTCTAATATGTATCACTTGAGAAACTCCTCTGGAATCAGAGAAACTAGATGTAGTAATCTATTGCATGTGTAGCAGTTGTGTCAATTATCTGGCACACATCACAGACAAAAATCTAATGTTATGTGGGCTTCTGGTTCCAAAGTCTTAATTGCTCTCCATGCTCATTACAAGCCTCCCTTTCCAACATTATTCACTTAAGGATTTTGGACATATACCAGAAACCTGGAATTATATATTTCTGCATATGATCGCATCAGCTATATTGCCAGAGGTCACACAGTTCTCAAATTCTTTCCAAAGTGGCAAGCAAACCCCTGCTAAAACGTTCCATTTCTGAAAGAAATAATTAATTTCTGGCAACAGCTCTGTGCTCCCACCTGAGTGACAGGAAGGATTCCTGGTGTACTCTCTGACTTTCAGAGGGCTTCTCTGTCCTCTGGCCAACAGAAGAAGCCATATGAGTTCTTAAAGCTTTGCACAAATCAGGGAACGTTAACTCTATCATGGAAGTTTCAAGGGCTACTGACCTAAAACTCTGAGGCTTTCAAAGAAAATTTTCAAGTGAGCCACCATGTAACAACCCAGCTGTCCCTGACTGCGTAAATGGGATAGGCAAACCAAGCTAAGTCTGCTCATATTCGGTTATCTAAGGGTTAAATGAGTCTTGCACCGAAGCATTAGTTGGAGGGGAAGGAGGAAGCACAGAAAACATTTGTTTCTGAAGTCCTGAATGAAATTTGGTAATAGGTGTGTTACATTAAATTTGAGGCTAAGTGGGATGAGAAAGCTAAAGGTGTTAAATTTGACCTTTCCCCTACTCACAGTTCAAGACTTCAAGTCAAGAGACCTCAGCTTGCTTAGACCTCAGGACAAAAAATAAAATTGAAATCTCCTGTTAATAATAATGGAAATCAAGAATGAAGTAAAATGTAAACATTCTATACTAAATGAGAATTTCATTTTAACATCCCTTCTCTCCTCTTCATGTTGAAACACATTTTTGAAAGGAAAACTTGCTGCTTGCTGGCCATCAAAGTCTGGTATTACAAAGGGCAAACACCTCCCTTGCTGGGGGCAAAGAGGAAGTTTGCTGTGATCATCCTTAGCAGTTACAAATGCTTGTTGGAGCCCAGTCATGTTTTCTTGAAGGCCAAACAACACAAGTACAGGTATAGGGGCTGCTGTATTTCTATAAAGCAGAGCAAATACTGTAAATGTAGCTTGTCCTTCTGACTCCGTGAATAGAGCAGCTTACCGCTGTCCCTAGACTTGCCAAACCTTTTCAGCCTCTGACTGGTTATTGCCTCTCTAATCAGAAATCATAGCTGTGCTGCAAAAGATACTGTTTCAGCTGAAAAGGACAGACTTGTTAAATAATAAGCACAGTGTAAGACATGTGGGTGAGAAAAAGTAGAAGGCTAAAAATAAATCATTATGTAGAGAAGTCAAGAGTTTCTCAAGATATAGCCAATGAAGGCAGTTCTGTTACTGCAGACACCCTCTCAGTCCCTTTGGTCACAGTCTCTCTCAGGATCAAAATGGTACCAGGACTCGTATCAGAGGATAGGAATTAAAGCTCTCATTGTCAATTCACAGCTTCTACCTTGCAGCAGTGCCGAACTATGAGCCTCAAAAGGTGAGGTAGCTCATCTTTCCTTTTTATTTTTCTTTTATTTAAACAAACAAACCAACCAACCAAAACCAAAAAACCCTCAACACACAACAAACATTTCTTCCTTGCTCAGTCCGGTTGTGTGGCATGACCATTTTTGTCCACCTGTGCTGGATGTCCAAAGTCCTACATCTGGGTCCTATCCTTTTAAGCTTCACTGAATCTGAAAAAGACACTACCCAGGAACCATCTCAAGCTCTGCACTTCTAAACATCTTCTTAGGATGCGTAATTTTCTTCCTTGCAAACTAATTTTAACAAAAGAGGTCCTGTGACCATGCAGGCTAAGCCTTGTGACTGACATGGCACTGCAAACTCTCCAGCAATTCAAGCGCTCACTCACATGACTATACCAACTGGTCCAGATTTTATTCTGCTGAGAAAAATTCACTACAGTATTTCAAGCAGATTTCAAAATCCATATCCAAACTCATTTGTGATTTGCTATCTATGTAACAATCTTAAGAGATTTCCAGTAAGGTGAGTTGAATTTTGCCTACAGTAAGGAGGTAGCACAGACAACTGTAGAAACGAGGTTCTGAAAAAAAAGTTAAATACACGGACAACCAATGGAAATCATACAGTATTTATTGCTTACACCAAGAAAAAAACAGAAGAGACTCCATCACAGAGATTCTTAATCCTCACACCTTTTTCCATCACCCATTGGCAGGTTAATGCTAATAGCCGCCCGCAGGTTAGCCCAGAACAGGGGATGCTTGCTCCTCTCCTTCGGCCACTCCAGGAAGGTTCGCTTTGCCATGAGAGCCTTCAGCTTGTGATATCTGGCAGGGATAACGTACTGAGGGATCGGCTCCAGTAAAATGAGGATTAAGCTGTTGGAATTCTCACTGAATAACTTGTGATGGGCAAAGTACAGCTCATAGTGACACCACTCGCTCTGCACAAAGTTGGGAGACAACACAAAGATCGACTTGTAGCTCTTCTCAATGCAGTTAATTATGTTCTCCACAATGCTCTTGCCAGGGATAAAGTTTCTCTCATGCTGGCACAGTCGTACACAGCCCTCCCCCTTCTCCAGGTTTGGGATCAGCTCGTTCTTCACCCACAATGAATCGCGCTCGCTGTAGGAAATGAACGCATGAAACTGCAGTTCCATCTCCTGCTCTTCAGGGTGGCTGTGCCAAGCTCTCCG